TAATTATTACTTACATTGTTCCTCTAGGAGTTTTTTTTATCATGAATGGGGGTATAAGACATAATTCATGCATTGCACAAAAAGACTATAAGAGGGAACATGATTGTATTTTACGATATTATTATATTGAGTTAATATCATGTTTTTAAATAGCTTGTCTTTATATTTCACTTGTTTTAAACTGCTTTATATTGAAGTGAATTCAGTTAAGTATCATGAGTTAAGTATTTTGAGTTGGTTTGTGCTTCATTGAGTCAAGTATCATATTTTTGAAGTTGAGTATCTAATATTTGAGTTGAATATCCAATCTTTGAGTTGAGTATCTTATTCTAGATTTGTATTGAGTTTAAAAGAGTAAAGTATGTTTCCTTTTTATTCAATTATCAAGCTTAAGTTGTGCTTTAGAATTCCCTTTACATACTCGTACATTCCGCGTACTGAGTCAATTGGCCTGCATCTTTTGATGATGCACACACATATATGCAGGATCATTAACAGGAGTTTCGTTGATACATCCGAGAGTTTGAGTTAGCTATGGTGACCTCCTTTCTTTCGGAGGATTTCATTTACTTTTCTGTTTAGTTAGGAGGTCGTGAATCTTTTCCCGACATCAATCTTTATTAGTTAGGGCCTTCATAGATAGTTAGTTAAGTTAATGAGTGTCTATTTTGCATTTATTTTATTAAATGTTTTAATGACTAAAGTTGCCTATTTTATGATTAGTTGAATATATTATTTTATTCAAAGTTTTTCATTTGGGTTAAAGCTTCTAAAGTCGAGTTTATGAATTTTATTTCACTTTTCAAGATTTGTATGCTTAAGTGAGTCTTTCGCATGTAGTCAGCCAGGATGAGGATTCGCTATGGGATCAACAATGGTCTTCGAGTGCCGGTCACGTCCAGGATATAGGCTCGGATCTTGACACGTAATTATCTCTTCTCGGCTAACCTTCTGGTGTTTAAATATAAGGTTTTCTTTACATATTGTAGAGTAATTTATTTTTATGAACCATTTTTTATTCTCTCTATAGTTCTCCCTCAACTTGCTTTTTTTACGGGCATCACGGGTAAATCATTATGCAGCTTCTTATAAATAATATTAGGACAGTTCGACTTATCATCAGAATTTAAAAAAATGACAGAACAAAGTCATTTGATTTTCGTGACACGTTGACTCGACTCATAAGTTTTTCAATTATTTCTATCACAACCCTAGTAGCTAAGCGTTGATATTTAAGTCTAATTTAAGATTCTTATGGTATTTGAGTGCAGGAGAATCATGAATCGAGAGTTTTTATCGACTCTTTGATCTTAGAAAAGAACGGTTATTTTCTTTCCACTATTTTAGCAAGCATCATTGGTACAAATTCATTTTATCAATTGATTTATTGATATTGTTAGTCATATTTAAATATAATTATAACTTAAGATTCTTTTGGTTCTTGAGTATAGGAGAAACAAGAACTAGAAGTTTTCTTTGATTCGTTGATCTAAAAAATGGACTGTGATTTTCTTTTAGATGATTTTAGAAAGAACTAGTCTTGAACACGTGCAACACATGTGTGTCCCATACTAATTTACGTAGAATCATTAGAATTAATGATAAATATATTTTCTAATAGAACAATGTTTTATAATTAATAGAAATTTCATTTTGACCTATGAAAGTATTCTTGCAATGAAAACATTTTTGTAGCATGAAGTTTTAGTTAGAGAACTGATTGGTTAGAGGCTAAAGGTGAAAAGAAAATTAAAAATAGAATATACTATGAAATCACGTTAACATCAAGCGAAATATATGCAACAAGTAATAAAAGTAGCAAAACATAAAGATAAAAACATCAACCTACATACTTGATACCAATCCATATGTTTTTTTTATAGAAAAATGAAGATAAAAATAAAAAATTATAAATAATTGAGTTAGTCAAAATTCTTACTGGTACGATAATTTCTTCTTCTGCTATCCAAATCACTCTACCTTACAAAAATGAATTACTACACATTTAGTTTTTGAATGAAACCCATCACGTATCCATATATGTGAAATTTGTTTTCATAAGTTTACATTAATAGTAAACAATAAATATATCAAGTCAGTTCAATAGGACTAGCTTTTTAGTTTACCAAAAAAACAGTTACACTTCCAAAAAACTTGCATGTGCAGAAGTATTTACTATAAATCATTTAATGAAAATAAATCAAATATTATGAAAATAGCAAAGAGAATGAAAGATTGTGAAAAACAATTAAATAGGTGAGATGTAGAAAAATTAAAATAATTAGTAGTAATAATTGAGGTGAATCATATGGTAATAAATGAAGTTTTTAGAGGCAAAACCTATGTATAAATTACATTACATATGCTCATAATAGGTGGAAAAAAAATAGACTCATTAAAGAAGAAATTGTGTAACTTCTCATTTGTGTAACAAGTTACTTACAAAAGTACGTAATGGGCGAATAAATTAATTTCACACATTTAGAGAGAACTCAATGAGGAGGGTTAAAATATGATTGTCGAATTTTTTATCTACTCATTGTTTATGTTATTTAAACATTACTATTTATATTGATTTTAATTCAATGTAGGAACACAAATTTTGTATTCTGGTGAAGTTACATTCAACCTTCAAGTAATAAAAATATGATTGTATAATATTTAATTAAATATTTTATGATATTTTATTTTATCGCAATGGTGAACTTGTAATTCAACATTGATGATAAAAGCTAATACAATATGATATGATTAAATATAAAATAACTTTTTAAGTCTTTAAAAAGGGGTAAAAATGTCTTTCAATTTTTAAGGACATTTTCTTCTTGATGTTTTTGATTTAATAGTATCCCCCTTTAAACATTTACTATATTATATGATTTGTATTTAATATTCAATTAATTAGATATTTTATATTTTTTTATCATGTGGAGGGGCTATGTAATATATATATATATATATATATATATATATATATA